AAAAAAAAAAAGAGAGTACAAAAAATGAAAATTAAAGACAAATATTCCTCATGAATACAGATGCAAAAATGCTTACCAAATATTGGCATAGAACTCAGCAATAAATAAAAAGAATTATAAACCACAACCAAATGAGGTTTATTCCAGGGATGCAAGGCTGGTTCAATATTTGAAAATCAATCAATGTAATCCACTATATTAGGTTAACAAAAAAATCACATGACCGTATCAATTGATGCAGAAAAATATTTGACAAAATCCAACACCCATTCATGATTAAAAAAAAAACTCTTTGAAAACCAGAAAAGGAAAGAGCTTCCTCAACCTGACAAAGAACATCTATAAAAAACCCTAGAGTTAACATCATACTTAACATGGAAAAATTGAATTCATCCCCCCTAAAATCAGGAACAAGTCAAGGATGCCTACTTTCACCACTGCTATTCAACATAATATTGGAAGTTCTAACTAGGGCAATAAGGCAAGGCAAGGAAATAAACACAGACTGGAAAGGAAGAAATAAAAATTCTCCCTATTTGTAGATGACATGATTGTCTATGTAGTATTTCTCAAAGAATCTACAAAAAAATACAGTAGACTCCCTTATCTGCGGCTTCAGTTGCCCACGGTCAACCATGGTCTGAAAATATTAAACGGAAAATCCCAGAAATAAACAATTCATAAGTTTTAAATTGCAAGCTGTTCTGAGTAGCGTGATGAAATCTTGTGCCATCCTTCTTCCTCATGCCCCAGATGTGAATCATCCCTTTGTTGGACCTCCAATCATCAACATCATCTGCTCCTGACATCCAACCATCAATATCGTCATGGCTCAATGTCAGAAGGTCAACACGAGCCTAACGCTACATCACAATGCCCACATCATTCACCTCACTTCATCTCATCACATACGCATTGTATCATCTCACATCACCACAAGAGGGATGAGAATAGCACAATAAGATGTTTTGAGAGAAACAGACCACATTCACATAATTTTTATCATAGCATATTGTTATAACTGTTCTATTTTTAGTTGTTGTTAATCTCTTACTGTGCCTAATTTATGAGTTAAACTTTATCATAAGTATGTAAGCGTAGGAAAAAACATACAGTCATGCCTTGCTAAACGACAGGGATACATTCTGAGAAATGCGTCATTAAGTGAGTTCATCATCGTGTGAACATCACAGAGTGTACCTACACAAACCCAGATGGTATAGCCTACTACACACCTAGGCTATTTGGTACTAATCTTATGGGACCACGGTCGTATATACAGTCCAATGTTGACTGAAACGCCATTGCGCCCCACATAACTGTAGTATATATAGGATTCGGTACTATCCGTGGTTTCAGGAATCCACTGGGGGTCTTGGAACATATCTTCCATGGATAAGAAGGGACTATTGTACTTCTAGAACTAATAAGTTTAGTAAATTCACAGGCTACAAGATCAACATACAAAAATCATGTTTCTGTGTACTAACAATAAACATGGGGAAACAAATTTAAAATGCAATACCATATACAAAGATTCAAAAAAAATAAATACTTAAGTTTAAATCTAACAAAACATGTACCGAATTTTTATATTGAAAACTACAAAATGCTGATCAAAGAAATCAAAGAGGATCTAAATAGAGAGACAGTCCATGTTCATGGATTAGGAAACTCAACATAATCAAGATGTCAATTCTCCCCTAGAAATCCTGATACACAGGTTTAAAACAATTTCTAGCAGAATCCCAGATTTTGTTGCAGATGTGTACTGACACATGCAACAATTGGATGGCCTTGAAGGGCACTGTGCTTAGTGAAGAACATCAAACTCAGAAGATCATGTGCTCTGTGATTCCCTTCATATGAAACTGTGGAAATGACAAAATTATATAGAGAACAATCAGTGGTTGACAGGAGTTAGCGATGGGGAAGGAGGGTGTGACTGTAAAAGGGTACAGCAGGAGGAAGATTCTGTGAACAGTTTTATATTTTGATTTGAGGTGGTAGTTACACAAATCTACACATACGATAAAATGACACAAACGAGACATAAACATTGTTTTTGTTGTTACTGCCATCAAGTTGATCCCGACTCCTAGTGACCCTGTGAACAGCAGAGCAGTTGCACCATCCTCTCACTTGCAGCACTGTATCAGACAATGCTCCGCTGCTATTCACAGGGTTTTCACTGCCAATTTTTCCAGATGTGGATGACCAGGTCCTTCCTCCTAGTCTGCCTTAGTCTGGAAGCTTGGCTGAACCCTGTCCACCATGGGTGACCCTGCTGGTATTTGAAACACCAGTGGCATAGCTTTCAGCATCACAGCAACACACAGCCACCACAGTATGATAACCCACAGACGGGTGGTGTGGTTCCCTGACCAGGAAAGGAACCTGGGTCGCGGCAGCGAAAGCACTGGATCTTAACCACTAGGCCACCAGGGCTGGCTATGAACATTGCACCAATTTCAAATTCCTAGTTTTGATTTTGTCTAACACGTAACAACTAGGGAACTAGGTGAAGAGTTCATGAGATCTCTCCATATTATCTTTCTAATTTCTTGTGAATCTATAATTATTTCAAAATTAAAAGTTAAAAAAAAAAGCAGGAGTTCCTCCCACAACAGAGACTTTTATATGTAGCACCGGACACTTGGCACCTCTAACTAGGGCACCCCCCAAGGTATCTGGTACTCAGCATTTGATTTTTTTAAGGTTTTGTTTTGTTTTTTCAAAATAAAAAAAGCAGGGCCGGCCCGGTAGCGCAGCGGTTAGGTGCACACGCTCCACTGCGGAGGCCCGGGGTTCGCAGGTTCGGATCCCAGGTGCGCACCGATGCACCGCTTATCAAGCCATGCTGTGGCAGCGTCCCATATAAAGTAGAGGAGGATGGGCACGGATGTTAGCCCAGGGCCAGTCTTCCTCAAGAAAAAAGGGAAGGATTGGCACATGTTAGCTCAGGGCTAGTCCTCCTCACAAAAAATAAATAAATAAAAATAAATAATAAAAAAAATAATAAAAAAAGCATTTTTCTGAGTATGAAGAGGATTCAAGTAATTCTTTAAGTATAAACTATAAATATCAAAATCATATTACCAAAGAACTATATAATTCATTTTTAGGTCTATCTTAAAAACAAAACATGAACATGAAGATTATAAAACAGTTGCTTCATTTTATGAAAGAATAAAACAGTAAAAATCTGTTTAAAAAAGAAACAAGTTTAAAGAAGAAAAGGGCTTAGAGTACATTTCTAATTTCTCTGATACTGGCTTAAGAGTTCTTTTTTTAAAAAAAGGACAGTGGCACAGAGACCTCAAATTTCCCTTGGATTCTATTCTATAGGCAAAGATTTGCTCCCTACCTCAGGGGTTGGCGCAGCATAGGCTGTGTAAGGAGGTGGGGAAGAAGCCACGGCAGTCTCATCATACATGACTTCTGAGCCAACGTAAGCCTATGAGAGGAGAGAAATTATGAAAGAAAGTGAGTTGCTACAGAGCAACTACAGGCTCTTATGCTATACACATATCCTTTTTATTTAGCAAATAAAAAAATTAAAAGACAAAAAGTTAATCTTTGAACAGCAAATGCTCTCTGAGAAGCAACGAATGGCAGGAGGAACGTCTCCCACACTTCCCCTCAACCCCAAACTCTGGTGTCCTCTGAATTCAGGAGGAGGCAGGAGGAGAGCTCTCAATGCCCAAGAAGGCCACAGAGCCTCCACTGTTACCCAGGCCTTCTAAAAGATGTTACACCACTCTCAACAACCCTTCCATTTAAAATAAAAATCCTACAATCTGAAGTGTAGCAGTCAGAGATATGTTCCACACACACGGTCTATTTTTTACATTAAAAAAAATCCTTTGTGGGGCTGGCATAGTGGTTAAGTTTGCACGCTCCACTTCAGCAGCCAGGGTTCATAGGTTCGAATCCTGGGCACGGACCTAAGCGCGGTTCATCAAGCTATGATGTGGTGGCATCCCACATACAAAATAGAGGAAGAGGGGCATGGATGTTAGCTCCGGGCTAATCTTCCTCAGCAAAAAGAGGAAGACTGGCAACACACGTTAGCTCAGGGCCAATCATCCCCAAAGAAAACAAAACAAAACAAAAAAATCCTTTGTTAAATTACTCCCCAGTGGAAAAGAAAAACACATGCACTCTCTTAAAAAAAAAAAAACCCATATAAAGAATCATCTTGAGATCTTGCTCCTAACTATTCAGATCACTAATGTTAATTTCATCCAAGAAGAGCATGTTCACAAGAGAAAAAGTAACTAGGGCTGTACAGTAAGCTCGGGAAGAAGTGTCTTTAGCTAACAAGAGCAGCAGACAATGACATGTGGATACTAAGTCTTTTTATGTTCTTTTCCCACCTGTACTAATGCTTTTATAAGCTCCATCTACCTTCTTCTTTTCTTCCTGGAGAGATAAAGGAAAAAACAAAATCCTACCTGAAGAATGGAAATGCTGACCACAGAGGAAGTCACCTGGACTCCCCAACAGACACAAAGATGGCATTACTAGCCCCTACAAACGGGGTTTGCTGTCTCAGTGACCTCCTAAGATCAGAAGCAGAACTAGAGACAAGTACAAGTCTCAGAAATGTCTGTTGCACAAGGCTGAGGTGCTATGCATAAAAAGGACCCTGTGGTCCTTTCTGAGGCTTCTCTGTAAACCACAGTGAGATTCACAGTGCTACAACATTTCTAGAAAACACCACTGGAACCTGTGTGCCTGTGTTAGGAGGGCTCCTCCTGCCAAAATGTTTGGCAAAATCCAACTTGCTCACTGTCAGCAAAAGGTGCCCTGCCCGGCTCTGCTTGCTCATCCACAGCTGGACGGCCAAGAAACCCATCTTCCCCATTTCCCTTTCCTCATCTCCTGTTCTCCCGTTTGTGAAAGTAAGACTATGTGAAAACATTACCGGTGATTCCATTAGCAACTTACTGTATTTGTCCTGGAATCCTGAAGTGTAAATTTCCAGGCCCTGGAGAAAAGAAAAAGGAAGGGGTACTTTATCTGAGGCAATCCAACATCTATCTCCATGATTCTCAAATCTGCGTTGGCAGCAGAATTTCTGAAAAAGCTTGTTTTAACAGGTCTTCAACCCTTGCTCCAAGACCCACTCAATCAACTCATTTGAGACATGCACTAGGAATACATAATATGTAAAAAAAACTGTATCTGGGCCGGCCCCGTGGCTTAGCGGTTAAGTATGCGCGCTCCGCTACTGGCGGCCCGGGTTTGGATCCCGGGCGCGCACCGACGCACCGCCTCTCCGGCCATGCTGAGGCCGCGTCCCACATACAGCAACTAGAAGGATGTGCAGCTATGACATACAACTATCTACTGGGGCTTTGGGGGAAAAATAAATAAATAAATAAAATTATAAAAGAAAAAAAACTGTATTATTGTACCTATAACATATAATATTTAAAACAATCTATACTGTACAGTTTTTGCTTTACTTTTTATGAATGTAAAATGTACCATGCTTAACTATACTGCAACTTGGTTTATCAGTTCATGTCATACACACAGATCTACTTCATTTTTTTAAGGGCTACATAATGTTCCATGACATGAGATTTAGATTATCAGCAATTTTCTGTACTTAAAAATACTGCTGGTAATTTTCTGCCAGCTCGAGAAATTGACATATAACATACATAAGTTTAAGATGTACGTGATGATCTAATACACCTATACTGCTAAACGATTACCACCATATGGTTAACACCTCCATCACCTCACATAATTACATTTTTTCGGGTGATAACATTTAAGATCTATTCTCTTAACTTTCAAGTATATAATACAGTATTGTTAATACAGTCACCATGCTGTACATTAGATGCACAGAACTTAATCATCTTATAGCTTGAAGTTTGTACCCTATGACCAATATCTCCCCATTTCCCCCAACCTCCAGCCCCTGGCAACCACCATTCTATTCTCTGAGTTTGGCTTTTGCAGATTCTACACAAAGGTTAGAACATACAGTATTTGTCTTTCTCTGTCTGACTTATTTCACTTAGCATAATGCCCTCAAGGTCCATCCACACTGTGCAAAAGGCTGGATTTCCATCTTTTTTATGGCTGAATAATTTTCCATCGTGTGTGTGTGCACACATACACGGAATAAATCACATGTTCTTTATTCATTCATCCACCGACAGACATTTAGGTTGTTTCCATGTCTTGGCTACTATCTAACACTGCAGTGAACGTGTGAGTGCAGATTATCTCTTGGAGGTGATTTCATTTCCTTCAGATATATACCCAGAAGTAGGATTGCTAGATCATATGGTAGTTCTCTTCTTAGTTTTCTGAGGAACCTGCATAACATATCCTTAGTGGTTGGACCTATTACAGTTCCACCAGCAATGCACAGGGTTCCCATTACTCCACATCCTTGCCAACACTTATCTTTCATCTTTTTGATAAAAGCCATTCTAAGAGGTGTGAGGTGGTTTCACTGTGGTTTTGATTTGCATTTCCCAGATGATTGTGATGCTGAACATCTTTTCATGTACCTGTTGGCCATCTGTATGTCTTCTTTGGAAAAATGTCTATTCAAGTCCTTTGCCCATTTTTTAATCAGATTATTTTTTTTGCTATACAGAGTTGTACAAGTTCCTCATATATTCTAGATATTAATGCCTTATCACATACGTAGTTTGCACATATTTTCTCCCATTCTGTAGGATGCCTTTTAATTTTTCTGAATGTTCCTTTTGCTGTGCAGAAGCTTTTTAGTTTGATGTAGTCCCGCTTGTTAACTTGTTTACTTTTGCTTTTGTTGCTTGCACTTTTGGTGTCGTATCTAAAAAATTATTGCCAAGACCAATCTCAAAGATCTTTTCCCCTATGTTTTCCTCTAGTAGTTTTACAGTTTAGGGTCTTACATTTAAGTCTTTAATCCAAATCAAGTTAATTTTTGTGAGTTGTGTAAGATAGGGGTCCAATTTCATCCTTCTGCATGTGATTATTCAGTTTTCCCAACACCATTTACTGAAGACAATCCTTTCCCCACTGAGTATTCTTGGCCTCCTTGTCAAGTATTAATTGACCATATTTGCATGCATTTATTTCTGCAATCTAGATTCTGTCCCATTGGCATATGTGCCTATTTTTACGCCAATACCATACTGTTCTGACTACTACAGATTGGTAATAAAGTTTGAAAACAGGAATTGTGATGCCTCCTGATTTGTTGTTCTCTCTCAGGACTTCTTTGGCTATTCAGGGTCCTTTTGTGGTTCCACACAAATTTTAGGACTTTTTGTATTTCTGTGAAAAATGCCATTGAAATTTTGATGAGAATTGTACTGAAATCTACAGATGGCTTTGGGTAGTATGGACATTCTAACAATATTAATTCTTCCAATCCATGAACATGAAATATCTTTCCATTTATTTGTGTCTTTTTCAATTTCTTTCACCAATGTCTTGTAATTTTCAGTGTAGAGATCTTTCACCTCTTTGGTTAAATTTATTTCTAAGTATTTTATTATTTTTGATGCTGTTGTGAATGGAATTGTTTTCTTTTTCAGATAGTTCATTGTTAGTGTACAGAAACGCAACTGATCTTTGTATGTTGATTTTGTATCCTGCAACTTTACTGCAATCATCTATTAGGTCTAACAGTTTTTTGGTAGAGTTTTTAGGGTTTCCTGTACATAAGTTCATATCACCTGTAAACAGAGATAATTTTACTTCTTCCTATTTGGATGCTTTTTATTTCCTTTTCTTGCCTAACTGCTTTGACTAAGATTCCAGTGCTATGTTGAACAGAAGAAAGAGTGACGAGCACCCTTGTCTTGTTCCTGATCTTAGTGGGAAAGCTTTCAACCCTTCACTGTTGAATATGGTATTAGCTGTGGGTTTGTCATACATGAAAATAATGCTGCTACTAACATCTCCATTACCTCTGCACCCTTACGTAAACATTTCTGTAGGACAAATTCCAAAGAGTGAAACTGCTGGGTCAGAAGATGAAAATATAATCTATTTCGGTGTGTACTGCCAGACGGTGCTGGAAAAAGACTGTAACAACTTCTACTACCAACCTTCCCCTAGGTGGTCATAAAAACTAGATACCTAAATCTTAAATATCATAAGTTTTCTGCTCTCCCTCCCTTATCCCCTCATCTTTCTGACTCCCCATCCCTCTTCTCTTATCTTTATCAATTCCTTTTATGTTTTATTGTCATTTTACTATCTTCTTGAGTTGAAAGCTTTGCTAAGTTACTTTCAAATGTTCTGGTTTTCTAATTAATGCAGTGAAGTTGCAAAATTCCCCCAACAGATTTACAAGCAGTATACTACTGTCATTCATTTTGCTAAAAGGTATCATATTGGATTGTTCATACAGTGCATCTGGATTTTTTTTGTTATCATGTCAGGTGGGAGAGTCTAGTATTGCCTTCGGTCTGCAAATTCATTTCTGTCATTTCAGAAAATTTTTCTTACGTTGATTCTAACTATCTTTTTGGGTTCTATACTTTCCAGACATCAATAATCTTTCTGATAAACTCTTTTAGTCTAACATAGCTCTGATCTTTTCTCTAAATTCATTCATCTTTTTCCCCTGCTTTCACTGAGAGTATCTCAAGTCTTTCCTCCATGCCAGTGATTCATTTCTTTAGTTGGGCTTGGGGTACAAGATTTACCTCTTTACTTTAGATTATAAAACGAATGGTAGGTACACTACATCACAGGCCTTCTAGGCTACAGAGATGCAAAAGGGCACAAAAGAAACATAAATCCCGGCTCTCATGTAGGTTATATGGAAATGAAGAACAAGATGAATAAACAGTTAAATGGTAAGCATGTATGTATGTTTACAGTGCAAGGAGGGTTATAATTTTAAATATGGTAGCAAAAAAAGCATTCTTAGAAAACCCACTTCTGTTTCTTGGGTTTCATTTTCCTACAGACTAGGAGCTTTTTCTGAGGTTTGCATTTTCTTTTTCTTATTTTTCCTTTATAGTATATTTGCATAGCTGCAAAGCCATTTCTTTGCATCCTGCTCATGTTTAACATGGGAAGTGATATCTAAAACTTCTATTTGCTCTGTTATTTCTTCTTGAAACCTTTCCTACTCCATCTGGTATCAGTTGGTAGCCCCACCCCAGCAACAGTTTGATGAATAGGTGTTACTCTCAATTACTTTTCTGTAATCTGAGGGTATAAGGGTGGAAGAGAAAGAGGTTTCTTGTGGAACTTAGTAAATCCCTTCTGAAAAATCTGGGTTCTATACTCTTCTGAGCATATTTCTTTGAACGTCTCATGCTAGGGCTCACTTCATCAGCCAGAGAATGATCTCATGAGCTTCAATGCCTTCCAGTGCTCTGAAATGACAAGCCCTGGGGGACCCTTCCAATCTCTGCTGAGGTCCCAAGGACAACATATTCTCAAGGATTTTTCCTTAGCTTTTCCAAAAAGGATCTTATTCCCTTATTCAGCATCCCTCCAGATTGCAGAGGATTACCAAAAATTTGCAAGATTTAATTAACTCATCTTCTTACTGCTTCTGGGAGTTGGGGTGGGGTTAAAAATGGTGCTACATCTCAACAGAATCTTCTTTCTTTGACTGTCATTCTTTGTGGTCTGTACTTGAAGTTGAACTTCTTTATTTGGCTGTTGCTGCTGAACTGTTTTCCCCTTCATTTCACTAGGTAGTTGGGGTAGATGATCCAGATTTCACATCTACACTCAAAGGTCTCTGTTATGGGTTGAATTGTGTTCCCTGTCAAAAGATATGGTGAAGTCCTAATCCCTAGTACCTGTGTATTATTCAGAAATAGGGTCTTTGCAGGTAGAATCGAGTTAAGAAGAGGTCATACTGAATTAACGTGGGTCCTTAATCTAATATAATTGGTGTCTTTATGAGAAGAGAAACTTCGACACAGACACACAGGAAGAATGCTGTGTTACAACAGAGGCAGAGATTGGAGTGATACAGGTGCAAGCCAAGAACGCCAAGGATCACCGGCCACAACCAAAACCAGGAAGAGCCAAGAGAGGATTCTACTTAGAGTCTCAGAAGAAGCTTGCCTCTGCTGACACATTGATTTCAGACTTCTAGCTTCCAGAACTGAGAGAATAAATTTCTGTTGTTTTAAGTCACTCAGTTCGTGGCACTTTCTTATGACAGCCACAGGAAATTAACGTCTCTTATTCTTTACTTTTTTATCTTTCTGTGTCATGTCACTTCAAGTGTGTTTCTTGTTAACAGAATATAGAGCTGGACTTTGTATTTTCTGCCCAATCTCAAATCTTATTCTTTTTCAGGGGAATGTAACCAACTCACATTTATTGAGATCATAGATATTATTGGTCTAATTACTGCTAGTTCATTTCCTGTCATGCTTTATTAAGTTTACCTGCTGTTTCTTTTTTTTTTGCCATGAGGAATTTTTTTCTGTTCCTTTTTATTCTTCTGGTTTAAAAAAAGTATTATCCTCCATTGCTATCTTTCCTAACTTATACCCTTAAAATTAGACACATATATAAACCTCTATTTTCCCATATAGGTGAAGAAAAAGTCAGTCTCTGACCCATCCGCTCTTCTAGGCCAAATAAGGCAAGTTCTTCAGCATACTTTTACCTGTTCTCCCTCCCCAATAACAAAACCTCCCATGTTCCTTATAAAATTTTAGTTCCTGATATTTTTTCCACTATTACCTAAAGGAACATTCCATACATGTGACATCTCAGCATCAAGTAGAGCAGAGCAGTTGAGGACAAAGGGCTCTGGAGACAAAGGAGTCTAGTCTACCAGCTCTAGTCTAGTCTACCAGCTCTAAAACTTGGGAAATGTGGTGGGCAGAATGATGCACAAAAACGTCCATATCCTAATCCCCAGAATCTGTGAAGGTGTTACCTCACAGGGCAAAGGCACTCCGTAGCCATAATTAAGGTTAAGGACCTTGAGATGGGGAGATTATCCTGGATTATCCAGGTTGGCCTAAACTATTCATAAGTCCTTAAAAGCATATATAACCTTCCCTGACTGTAGAGAACTAGAGAGATGACAGCATGAGAAGGGCTCGGCCCAGAAGCCAAGGAATGCAGGAGGCCTCTAGAAGCTGGAAAAGGCGAGGACACAGATTCTCTCCTAGAGCCTCCAGAAGGAGCACAGCCCTGTGGGACTCTGAGACCCAATGAAACCCCTCCTGAACTTGTGACCTCCAGAAATGTAATCATAAATTTGTATTATTTGAAGCCACTGTGGTAATTTATTACAGGAATATTAAAAAACTGATACAGGAAGTTACTTAACCTCACTATGCCTCAATTTCTTATAACAAAAGGAAAAGTACCCACCTTATAAGATATGGTGAGGATTAAATAACATATGAAAGCACAGTGCAAAGTAAGTACCCAATACACATAAGCTTAAATTATTAAACAGTAATAATATAGCTCCAGTTTATAAAAAAGTAGCGAACTAGCTTGATATGCAGTCATTTCTCCATCAGTCTTTAGGAAAGCCACATCTCTTCCAGAAAATATCATTTAAGATTCACTGATATAAACCAGAAAAGTGTAAAAAAAGATGCTACATCTGGGATTTAAAAATAAACCCTATAGTTTAGTATGGAATAAATGTTTAAATTGAAGATGAAAATATATGTGAAATAGGGGGCAGGTACTCTGACTGGTCTGCTGGAGTCTATGAAACTGTCACATATATATGAATATTACAATAATCTCTGTTAGTGAATTCTCACAACGTCCAGAGTTAACCCAGGGTAGTAGGGGACAACCCAGAGTTGTCCCAGAGTGGACAGGGAAAAAAAACTCTTCTCTCCAAATTTCATTATATCAGTGTTATCAAGATTCTGATCCAACATCAATGTCAATGTTGACAAGCTGAGAATTAATAAAGTTGGGTTTGCCTCCTTGTAGTTCCACATCCCTTCTTCAGATATGGCAGATGGGACTAAGAACCACCAAAGGAAGGAAAAGGCTGCATAATACAGATGTCAGTACTGTTTTAAAAGACTTTTAACATAAAAAGAACAAGATTTGAGGATTCATTCAACTATGTCCATTCCCAATATGCATCTAGTAATGGAAAAAGAGAGTGCAAAGGGACTGTATGGGAATACTTTCTGCCGTTCTCACTATAGTGGGAATCTGCCTGGGCAGCTCCAGAAAGGCAGAAACTAGGATCAGGGTTATTAGAGATGGAATAAGATCCTGCTACATTTCTTTCACACATCCTCTGAGTTACTTATTCTGCTGCCTGAAGGAAAACTCCACTCACATTCTTTTCCCTTCCTGATAACTGGACATTAAAACAGAAAATACTTTTTAAATTAAACACATAAAAAAATAAAACTTACAAACAATCATCTGTGCTTTCTGCACAAAGACTGATAGTTTTCCCATCTCGGCAAACAATCTGCAGCATACAGTCTTTCGGCTTCCCATCTGGAGGCTGAACATCTACGAAAAAGAAGTAGAATAAAGGAATATTTATACGGTTTCTTTAAAAGGATTTCTTCTTACCTGACAGCTCAGATAAGCAAAAGACCAGTATTCAGAACATTTCAATTACAACACATCTTCCTCCTGCTCTACAGAACCAAAGATGAATCAACTCCATTCTAATTAAACTTCCTACAGGAAGAATGAGCAGGCCTCTTTGGAGGGCATTCCACAGATGGAGATGTACAGACGACCCCTTAGAAGAATAAGGCCTTAGAAGAATAAGCTCCACACAACGAAAATGTTACAAAGCATCAGATAAGAGAATACTTACTGCTTTTGTTCACAGGAAGCATCAAAATAGATCACTGCTTTAAAAGTAAATATCAGATTTTTGAAGTATCTCTGTGTACCAAGAAATAAGATCTATGATATGTGAGCCTAGTTTAGTAAGGATTTCAACAGCTGGTCCGTGGAGACTTGAGTTTCAAGAACTAATATATAGGGGCAAGATACCACAACACCAATGGTTATACAAGCAACTATCTCATATGTGACTCCTTAATTCAAGAACTAACATGAAGGGGCAGGATGTTACAAACATCAATGTTTACTACAGCAGACTCTTTATTCCAAATAGCAACAGAGGTACTAAAATGAACAGGAAAGTCTACCTATGCCATTAATTAGAAATACAAAAGTCTAAACTTGTTAAAAATCTATTCCTTTAAAATGAATATAAGGTATAACTACAGAAAACCAAGACATCATTGATTTTAAGAAACTAACTGGAGTTGTAATCAATAAGATGCCAGTTTCTGAGTCACAGAATCTATACTGCCTAGGGTGGCTCCATCCTTCTTGGGGTTCCCAGTACTCTGTTTCCCTAGTTCTCTACTACCTTCTCCATGAGAAAGGAAGGAATGTGGACTGATGGGTCTAACTCAGATGAGAAAATTAATTTGCCCCAAACATGGTTCAAGATCTAAGTGTCTGGGTCCCCACTGTGGTTACCTCTTCCCAGATGAAACACTTCTTTGGCCTGTTAATGAAAGTAGCATGGGTAAGGAAGAGGATTCAACGCCCATCAAGAACGGGGAAGGGTGGGGGCTGGCCCCGTGGCGTAGCGGTTAAGTGCTTGTGCTCCACTGCTGGCTGCCCGGGTTCGGATCCCAGGCGTGCGCCAATGCACCCCTTGTCAGGCCATGCTGTGGAAAAAAAAAAAAAAAAAAAGAGGAGGATTGGCATGGATGTTAGCTCAGGGCTGATCTTCCTCGGAAACAAAAACAAAAGAGAAGAATGGGGAAGGGTGGGGGCCAGCCCGGTGGCATAGTGGTTAAGTGCACGCACTCTCCCCTGCAGCGGCCCGGGGTTCGGATTCCAGGCGCGCACCAATGCACCGCGTGTCAGCCATGCTGTGGCGGCGTCCCATATAAAGTGGAGGAAGATGGGCACGGATGTTAGCCCAGGGCCAATCTTCCTCAGCAAAAAGAGGAGGATTGGTGACAGATGTTAGCTCAGGGCTGATCTTCCTCACAAAAAAAAGACCAAAATGGGGAAGGGTAGATGACAGAAGCTGGCCAAGACAGACGCACTTACCCCGACACTCGTGCCCCATGCGGATATTAATGCAGTCCACTGGCATGTGGACCTTATCCTCAACACTCTGCCGAGTTTGGTCATCATAATAGATCAAGTGACCATCTGACCACAGGTCAAACCAATTCTTCTTCCAGCGCTTCAAAATAGTACCTGAAAAAAAAAAAAAAAGGCGAAACATTGGCCTTGAGCCAAAACTTTGTCCTCTAATTCACAGGGAACAGAAACAAAGAAAACTTTACTCTGGCCCCATAAGTACACCTGCATATAACTGCCCAGAGTAGTACATTCACATGGAAGTGAAAGCAGACCCCAAGGGCATGCACACCCACACTGTACCACGGCTGCATGCAGCACACAGAGATACTGAGAACGCTGCCAACTTAAAAGTCCCAAAACTGGAAAAAAAAAAAATCAAATAAAACCTTGATTTTGAGCTAATGAAACATGTTTAACAAATTCTCCATGTAGTATATCTTAACTTTCCCAGTAGTATCTAACTTTGCTAGACTGATCAGAAAATGTTGAACTGTAAAGTCTCCATATACAAATAACACCACCTTCCTCTTTTGGAAAAATATGTTTCTCTCTTTTTCTTGTAGGGCTTTCACACATACTCTTCTATAACATTCACCTTCCCTTAAAGCCCGCAGCTGGGAGGGTCCCCCTGCCTGAGGCAGACACAGACACTGGATACATCCACACCCCGGACACTAAATAAACCCAGGCCGAGGGCCTGACTCCTACCCTGCACGCATCCATCCTATACCTCACATGTCTCTATCAGTTTGAGTGAATTCATCCTTTCATTTGTAATCTTGGACTAGACATTTAACTTTATAAAACTCTAATTTCCTTATCAGCCAAAAGGGAAACCTAAAAGGCCAGTTTTCACTCCAAGTCATCCTTGCACCTTTCTCACACCCACACACTACCTTTTGTTCCTGTAGACCCCACCTTGTTCTTGGCCAATGTGCACAAATCCCATTCCATGTACTTCTTACGCTCCCACGTCTGCTAATGGTTTCAACCAAATATGTGACCCGTCGGCCTTCTGAATTTCTTTTACCACAATCAGGCACCCTTCTCGCTGAGAGGGGCAGCCACAGCCCTTGCACAAACTGATAAATAAGTGACACCCAGCATCCATTTGATTGGCAGCACCTGAGCTATGCAGAAACTACCAAATAGAGCCACCCAAACACAGACAGGTGGAATCACTGGGTTGGGGAGTTCTACCCAAGTATGCCACCTGCCATCAAAGCCCTGACTGCAGATTCCCAAATTAGGCTGTCCTCCAGAGTCCAGATACTGGGCCCTGAGGGTCTATGTGGCAACAGCAGGAAAATGAGTCATGGAGACAGCTTTGCACACATGTAACCACATGTGTATCTCTGCTGTTCTGTAACGCAGTGAATATAATACATCTCATCTCATTTTACTGTGATTGATACTTCTGCTTGCAGCAGAGGAAAACTAAGCCACACTTTGGGAGATGGGGAAATGGAATAAGTCTTCTGAATACACACTTTTGAGATAGCCATGGACCAGGACATTGGAAAGTCTGTACAACTTGTTCAAAGGACATCTATTTTGTGCACATCATCATGACAGGCACTGATGAGGAACACAAAATTGTTGAAAGGGTCACTGTTCTCTGAGACTGACAGAGCATTTATATTGAATTATGGAAAAAGGAAAGTTCACCCTCAAACAAGGAAGGGTGCAGTAGAGGCTAAGGAGAAAAACCAATGCACATCGGAAAGGCCAGGAAAGGAAGGCACATCTTCAAGGTCTGAGCAAAGTTCTCCATGTCCCCCTGACCATCTGGGGGAGGTTGTGATCACAAAATCCAAGACAAGGAAACTTACACAAAGATTGGAGCTAGACTCCAATATGCCAGGACTTTCTTTTTAAAGCCAGCATTACAACAGCTCTATCTATTCTTAGAATACAGGACTATCACAGACCTGGAAAGGACACCTGGTTCAGCTCTCGGTCTGGGAATGTAGAACTAATAACAGGACAGACAGGCTGAAGGCTTATCTCCTGGCAGAAAGAGTGTCAATGTCGAAATGAGACAGTCCTGAGTTTGAAAGTATCTTTGCTGCCCATAGTTAACACTTGGACAAATTACCTAATATACTGAACCTCAGTTTCTTCAACTGGAAACTGGTATAATGCCACCTACCTCACAGAACTGTTGTGAGAATTACATACTATATGCAAAATCTGTACAACAGGAACACAAACAAGCTTCATAAGCAATAGTTTTTATAAACTTTCTAAGGTATACAGTCCATTCTTCACTGCTCGTCTCAAGGATAACTAAGTTCTGAAGGTATACCTCAAATATAAATTCATAACTAAACAATAAACAATATAAACTACAGCTCAGTTTTTTGCTGTAGGAATAAATGACGTAGTCACTTCTCCCTTAACTCTGCTCTTTCTAGAAAGATGGGAGAATAATCTGCTTACTCTTTCTTCAACAGAGCTGGTTCTTCCTGCTTTAAAACACACTATGAATCCTACTTCAGGTGGCAGCCTCAGAGATAAGCAGACAGTGTATGAAAGATAAGCCCACAGAGATGAGTCTCAGGAACTGGATCTCCATCCCATAAATAAAGAATTGAGCCTCTTCTCCAGAGTCCTTCTGGAGATACAAAAGGTTTGGTTTTAGATAAACTCATTCCCTCAGGTCAAATCTTCATCCCTATAATTACAGACTCCAGGGACCTGCCGGGTAGTGTATCAGGTTAAGTGCCTGCACTCCGCTTCGGAGGCCCTAGGGTTCACAGGTTCGGATCCCATACACGCACCGATGCACCGCTTGTCAAGCCATGCTGCGGTGGAGTCCCATATAAAGTAGAGGAAGATGGGCATGAATGTTAGCCCAGGGCCAGTCTTCCTCAGAAAAAAGAGGAGGATTGGCATCAGATGTTAGCTCAGGGCTGATATTACTCACACAAAAAAAAAAAGACTCCAGTGTTTCAGTCACTGTTCAATCCCCAGATAAGACAGGTATTTCCCACAAAGAGAGCAGTACCTTCATGCTAATATATCAGCTGAGCTTGTCTGATTCAAGGAGAGCCTCAGGTCAGCCACTAATCATAAAGCAAGCTAGTAAGAAAAGAGAAACCAGCAGGGATTACCAATGTTCCCTGGTTCTTGTCAATGCAGCAACCAAGGAGCTCCGTGTGTGCAGAGAAACAGTTCACAGAGCTCTAAAACTTTCCAAGAGAAAATCCATGGCAAAAACACTAATCAGACTCTGCTATTTGTTTTTCAATGTAATCTGTTTCAGCAACAGAAATAAAGATGCGGCCTAAGGCAACATTAAACCTAGTCCAAGGGGCTCACGTCCTGTACTTACTCTGTCGCAGCAACCATCCACTCTTCACAAACGCCATCTTTTCACCTATAGGAGAAGAAACAGGCAGGTTCAAAATTACACCTAAAAGACAGAATGGGCCGTATGAGTTTTTACTCACAACACTTCTGATGCCAAATGTGTAGGGCTTTTCTAATCAACAACCAATTCTCCCACTCTCAGGACACAAACTGGATACTACTGATTCAATTTGATTTTGACACTACCTACCTGCAGTAAGCATCAGACCCCATGGGTTAAGGGTTCAATTCCATAGAGTACTCCCACTTTAGATGTCTTGGGCCCTCCCATACTTCAGACTTATAAATTCCCATGACCCCCTCCTCAGATTCGATAATTTGCTAGAATGGCTCACGGAACTCAAGAAAGCACTTTACTTACTATTACCTGTTTATTAGAAAGGATACAACTGGGGAACAGCCAAATGGAAGAGATACATAGGACAGGAATGGGGAAATAGTACAGGGCTTTCATGACCTCTCCAGGCACACCACCCTCCCAGCACCTCTACGTGATCATCAATTAGAAGGTCTTGGAACCCCGTCATTTAGGGGTTTTTAAAGAGGCCCCATTAGAAAGTTCTAACCTTCTAATCACAAGGTTGATTCCTGTGGTCACCAGCCCCATCTTGAAGTTACCTAGGGGCCCACCAAGAATCATCTCATTAGCATAAACTCAGGTATGGCTGAAAGCGGTTTATTCTGAATAACAACACCTTTATCTCTCAGGAAATTCCAAGGGTTTTACCAGTTCACATGTTGGTTCTTATACAATAAAATCACAGCCATCTGGTCTAATTCTCCACCCTCATCCCTTTCAGTGTCAAGCGAGGAAGGGACCAAAGCCATTTACCTCACTGGCCCCTGGCATTTACCAAATACCTCCTCGGTGGGGCCAATATAACCTCTCCCCCCCCCACCTCCCACTCGAGGCTTTAGCCTCAACACCCTGCCCACCTAAGTCTAACTTCACTCAACAGACATAAAGCAGCCCCAGGACCACTAAGATTTAGCTCTGTGGAGGACTTGTGGCTTCTCCTAACATGTCCAATGTCCTGGGGCTCTGAGGTCCAGCTGCCTCAGCTTTGTCCCTGGTGTGCCCAGTCAACTTTACACAGCGCAGTCAGGTGTGCACTGGTGTCAGCAGGCGGAGCAGCCAGGTCAGAGATGAACACTAGAGTCATTAAGAAAAAGTTTGATAAATTTAACTCCATAAAAATAAAATTCTGAGTGCCCAAAAAAAAAGGTCAAGGGGCCCAGCCCCGTGGCTGAGTGGTTAAGGTTCCATGCACTCCGCCTTCAGCGGCCCAGGTTCAGACACTGGGCACGGACCTACTCTACTCACCAGCCAGGCTGTGGTGGTGTCCCACATATAGAGTAGAGGAGGACTGGCACAGATGTTAGCTCAGGGCTAAGCGTCCTCAAGCAAAAAAAGAAGATTGGCAACAGATGTTAGTTCAGGGTGAATCTTTCCCGGCAAAAAATTAAAAAATTTTTTTAAAAAGGTCAAAAAGACCAATAAAAGATTAAGAAAAAACATTTACAACCATACAGCAGCAAGGAGCTAATTTTCTTCACTTACAAAGCTCACATATAACAGAAATGGCAATGATTTAGCAGTTTACAGAAAAAGAAACATGCATGGGCAAGAAACTCATAAGATACCCAATTTCTCTCTCAAATCAACTTACAAAATTCAAAACACAAGTTAACAATATTATCTATCAGAGGGACACAAATGAAAAAATCTACGATACCCAGGAAGGAGAAAGTGTGATGGCAGGAACGAAAACTGCTGCGACCTTTTGGGAGAGGAATTTGACAATATCCGTCAAAATTTTAAATGTTCATACACTCTGATCCAGCAATTTCACCATTACTGGGAACACAGCTCACTGACGCAGGTGCAGAGGTTCACCAACATGTAGGTATATTCACTGCAACGCTACTTATACTGCACAACACTAGCCCCAACCTAAGTGCCCACAACAGAGGACTGCTTAATGGGCACCTGCACACGGCACAGGTCATGGTGCAGATAGGAAAGGAATGAGGTAGAATGGTGTGTGCTGATAAGCACACAGAGCTGATACCTGCACAGGTGTTTTCTGAAATGAATCATAAAGACTGTTAACAACGTGTATCTCTGAGGAGAGGAATGAGGCAATGCTGTGTGTACATCAGAAAAGAAGATGACTATTCGGTCCTATCACACCTTTCTGTACTATCTAAATTTTTTTAACAATTTGCATGTATTATATCCTTTTATTTTTTTTGAAATAAACAGATATTATTTGGAGGCTGAGATTATGGGCCACTTTTGTTTTCTACTTTAGCACTTCTAGGTATTCTCTTTAAGGCACTAAGGTTTGGAAGGTGAGCAAAAGCCCAAGTGGGCACCTCAGAAGAACAAATGAGTCCCCCTCATTTAATTTTCCCCACATTGAAACATGGCTGAATTCTCATCTCTCTCCAAACCTTTAGAAAAAGAGCTCCACAAGCTCTAGTCATTCTATGTTCCAGCATCTCCAAAATCTTGTACTCTGAAGGTTCTTAATCTCCTTGCAAGTTCTGCCAACTCATGCTGTCTGTCCTCACCAAGAAAGGAAAGGAACAGGGCTGGCCTCGTGGCGTAGCGGTTACGTGCGCGCACTCTGCTGCTGGCGGGCCGGGTTTGGATCCCGGGGCGCGCACCGATGCACCCCTTGTCAGGCCATGCTGTGGCGGCGTCCCATATAAAGTGGAGGAAGATGGGCACAGATGTTAGCCCAGGGCCAGTCTTCCTCAGCAAAAAGAGGAGGATTAGCGTGGATTTTAGCTCAGGGCTGATATTCCTCACAAAAATAAAAAAGGAAAGGAAATAAGTTCTTCATCCTTCCCCATCCTTCTCCCATGCATTTAGGTGCTCAAACATACAGTCCCAGGGAAATTAGATCCAGAAAGTCAGTATCTTCCCTTTCTCCCAGTGGATGTGCATGCTGATCACTGCTGCAGGCAGCCACCTTCTGCCACGAACTGTCCTGAGAGCAGCTAAATATAGAGACAACAGAGCTGACTCTGCGGAGCCACTGACTCAACCATCCTGGAAACCCATCCGAATCCAAGGCTTTCCGCTAAGCAAAATGATAGGTTTCTTTACTATTTAAACTGGGTTGAACTGGTTTCCTGCAGCTTGTAGCCTAAAACAGTCATCTACTTGCAAAAGAATTTGAGGCAGTGAAATAATACCATCATATTTTCATTCTAGAAATATTCTTTGAGCATCGAATGTGTGCCCAGCCTTGTAGTAGGCACTAAGGATACAGCAGTGACCAGGCCAAAGTCCCTGCTCTCATGTAGCTCACACTCTAGCAGAAGAAACAGGTTAAACCCAGAAATTAAAAAGACAAGCAATGGAGTGTTATAGATGGCATCACATCTCTACAGAGATGTGCTGATCTCAGAACATAAAACTGGAAGGGTATGTAGCATGCACTCATTCACACCAAATCCTGGATATTTACACTAAAACTTCCTACCATCGTAATTTGAATTCTCAGTTTGTATTTCATGTGAAAAAGAAAATATCTAGGAATAGGCTAAAAATTATTTGTAGGTACTGGGAGCTACCTAGTTATAATACAGATATAAAAACTGACTGAAATGTTGCCATACAACTTTGCTGGTACCTTATGAACTGGTGCTTCTGGAACTGAGTGAACAGTATAAAAATGTAGAGCAATAAAAAGGAGTTTCTTGAACTTTTACAGTAAATTTTTTAAAATCTCTAATGATTCTTGATACTGTTTTGGCTGTATTTGCTGTCATTCATAATAGTCAAAATGTCAGACTAGAGTAACATCGAGATTAAAAACAGCTTCTTTTTTTTTATTTTTTTTTTTGGTGAGGAAGATCAGCACTGAGCTAACATCTGCCAATCCTCCTCTTTTTGCTGAGGAAGGCTGGCCCTGGGCTAACATCCATGCCCATCTTCCTCCACTTTAGATGGGACGAAGCCACAGCATGGCTTGACAAGCGGTACGTCGGTGCGCGCCTGGGATCTGAACCCCGGGACGCCACAGAGGAGTTCACGCACTTAACCGCTACACCACCAGGCCAGTCCCTAAAAACAGCTTCATTTATTCAAAGGTTTTTAAGATTCTGAGTTCAACAATTTTACATGCCTGTAAGATTAGCAACAACACTAGCACCACGAAGATAAAGAGTTAAAAAGAGAGTTTCAGGTAAAACCTTAAGGACCTAGAGATTTCCTATTATCTGATCATCATCTACTAATTGTATGGATCAGCATCTGGGTTGCCTATGTTTTCTTTGGTGTTTCCTTGGGGTGAGGATGGGATTCTTTTACTTTTCTAGTAACTGCAGCTCAAGAGATGCCAACAAGAGGAAACTGAACAGCTCACTTGGGAATCAATTCCAGGCTACTTGAGTCAAGATTCAAAAAGGAAAAAACACAAAACTTCTACATCTAAAGGACAACATCATAAACATCTTTGGTGTGCCTATATAAAATAGTTTAAAACTACTAGAGAAAGGCAAAACTAGCTTCCTACAACAAGGTAGAAAGAAACTTACACTAGAATTAGCAACAGTAACTCATGACTTTTTAAAAAGGGTAATTCTTCTGCAGACTCAAGTAGCTCCTTATCTGGTATCATCCCGTCTACGTTTAGTCATTACACCAACCAATCTCACATGTACCCCAGTACCCAGATTTTTATCTCTAATACTGGTCTCCTCTCCTAAAAGGAGCCAGTGCTCCTTGAAAGTGAGCCTGGTTACAATCTAGGGACAGGATACTTCAAGATATGCCTAGGATGTCCTACTGTCAAAACACAAAGATGCTTTCAGGAATGCCTTTTAGAAAGGATAAAGAAGACAACCAGCTGAAGAAAGGGCATCAAATGGCCAAATCGTGACAACATGACTGCCAAATTGAAAATAATAATTATAGTTCATTAGAACCAATGAGGCTGAAAGGCATCCTAAGTATAAAATGATGATTAAAAAGCATACATCACTGGGGCCTGCCCGGTGGCGCAAGTGGTTAAGTGCACATGCTCCGCTGAGGCAG